ACTGGACCCATGGGCTGAATTATCTTGTTCACTTCCCTCAGGTCGTGGATGAGGCGGTAGCCTTCTCCTGATCTTTTGGGGATTACAAACACAGGGGTGTTCCACGGGCTGGTGGAGGGTTCTATGTGACCCTTTTGTAGCTCGCGGTCGACCAGTTCCAGCAAGGTTGTCATTCGAGGCTTTGACAGGGGCCACTGCTCAACCCATATGGGGTCTGGTGATTTCCAAGTCAGTTTGATTGGCAGCAGTGGGTGTACAGCAGTGGCCCTCATTATAAATTTGTAATCCTGATTCCTAACATAGCAAGGATGTCCCTTCCTATCAGGGGTGGAGAGTTTTGTAAAATGTAGGGGTGGACTGCTACTGTCCGTTCTGGCCCCTTCTTTGTATGCAGCGTTATAGCTACCAATTGGGTGCTTTTCCAAGCTCGGGACAGCCCTCCCACCCCGTTCACTGGGGGGACTTCCTTGCATTGCCAGTGTCGGGGCCATAGGGCTTGGGGAAGGATCGAGCAGTCTGCTCCTGTGTCTGCCCAAAACTGAAGCCCTATTACGTGGGGGTCCTGACTGCCATAAAGGCGGCATGTCCCCCACACCCTCAGGGGTTCCTTCCCTATTTTCAGGGCCAGGGCCACCCAGGGGTCCCGTTCTGGGGCGCCCCCTGCTGACCCTGCGGCACAGGCACTGCTTGCGGTGGCGGTGGGTACGAAGGTGACGTAGGCTGTGTCGCGAGACTCGCTGGTGGGGGTATGAAGCTGGCTGCTTCCTGTGGGGGTATGGGGTATGAGGGCTCCCCGCCCCATTGAGGGTTGGCATGGATGGGCCGCCTCATATTCGCAGCGGGAGGAGGCTGGGTGCGGCCCGCAGGCCCCCTCCCTTTCCCGTTTCCCTGGGCCCGGGACCTGCATTCCCTAGCGAGATGCCCTTTCCTCCCGCAACCCCAACAGGATCCCCGCGGGCGTGTTTGGGGTGGAGGCGCTGCGGCGGGCCGCCGTGCCGGCTGTGGGCAGCTCACCGCGATGTGACCTGCCTCACCACACTTGAAACACGCCATGGCATTGGTCAGGGTGTGGACGGCTGCCTGAATGGGTGTCAGGTGCTCTTCCCTTACTACATGTCTGATCATGTCAGCCAGGCTAGCTCTGGCTGGCAGGGAGCGTAAGATATCCTTGGTAACGGAGTTGCACTGCTGGCGCAGGCAGTCAGCTACCACGGGGCCCTTTGCCTCTGCCGGCAGAGTGGAGGAGTCTATGGCTGCCTTCAGGCGATCCACAAACTGCGTGAAGCTTTCGCTTTCTGCCTGCCTCACGGTGGACCACGGCGCCGGCTTAGCCACGACTCGAGAGGCTGCGCGAATAGCCTCCCTGGCAGCCCGAGTGGTCGCCCTGACCTCTTCAGCCTGCATCTGTGCAGCTTGTTGTTGCGGCGTGATCATATCTTCATGCTTTCCTATCAGTCTGGATAAGCTCGATCTGTGTAGTGGCTGCCTCGCGCCAGATGCTTGGGCTAACTGCTTCCTACAATTATCCTCCCATTTCTGCCTAAACACGATCATCCCTGCACCATCAAGTATCATGCGCCCTATTCGTTCGATATCAAAGGGAAGCAGGTCGTCATTACTAAAAAGACCATCGATTAGAGTGGAGACTATGGCCGAATTGATTCCTTTTTCCGCAATGGCTTTGACAATTGACTGTACGTCCTTTGGGTTTATCGGGGTATATACCCTTTGTTGGTTCCCCTCCGGACCGGCGAGCCTCCCCGGAAAGGCTTGTATGGCGGCCGCTGGGGACCATTCAGCACAGGCTATTTTTATTTCCCCCCAGTTGGTAAACTGGGCTGGTTCGTATTGTAGTTGTTTTTCGGTGCGGCTTAGAACTCTACTTGGTTTTGTTCTAAGTTGCGCTGGCTCCGTTTCTTCCGTTTCGGAGTCATAGCCGGCTTCCGTCAGCTCTTCCGAGCTGGCGGAGCTGCTGCTGGACTCCGAGCCGAAAGTTGAATGCCAGCGTACTTCCGGGACTCGGTGCCTTTTTGTTTGGCTTCGAGCTCGCTCCTCCCCGTGGGGGTGGCGCCGCTCCCGCCCCCCTGGCTCGCCGCGCCTCCCGCAGGGGGAGGTTTCTCCCTTATATGGTAGCAACCTCAGGCGCAGCTGCCGATTGGCTCCGCGCTCCCTGCCGCTCTCCGCCTCTTTCTCCCGCACATGCACATTCTTGAAATCGCGCACTTCCCGGCTTTTCGCGCCCTGCCGCCCAGCGCCATTTTCAAAGGGGCAGCGTGGCAGCGCGGCCGGGATCTCCACTCGAGCCGCGGCTTCCGCGACTCTGGCTTCTTCTGCCAGCTTTTGCCAGAAGCACTCCACGCGCTGCTGCGCCTCCGACATCGGGTCGCGGACCGGCGGCAGGACGGACGGGGAAGCCGCGGTTTCTCGGGGGGTTTTCGCGGCGGGGGTTTTTTGGGGGGCTTTCGCGGCGGGGGTTGGGCTCTGATCTGGGGAAGGGGGTGACGCGCTGGGCCCCCCCGGGTTTCCGCTCCCGGGCGGATCGTCTTCAGGCACGGTCTGCGCTCCCGCTCCTGTCCCGAGCCCGGGTCTAACTAATAAACACGTATGCGCTGCACTCTGCGTCTCTTGCTTTTCTATTGCCCTGCGCGGGGCTTTTTCTACTTTGCCCCGTGCCGTAACGCTCTTGCCACTGCCTGAGGATTTCGTTTCCTCAGCTAGCGTGGCTGTGCATTTTTCCCATATTCCCAGATGCATGGCATCCACTGGGCTTTCGGTTGCCCCAAGCTCAAGCAGCCTCGCTATAGCAAGATAAAAGTCCTTGAGCTTAAATTCGATACTCCATTGCTTATAACTCACACTCACGACCCTTGCGATACTGTCTATGACACTCGTGGGTCCCGGGATGTCTCCCTGCGCCTAGATACGGTCTGACCGCTCCGGCCGCTGCTCCTGTCCAGGTGTATCCCGTCAGCCGGGCGAATTTTTCCTGGGTTTCGGCACCAAATATGTTGCCTTGTAAAAGACAACAGGCGACCTGGTTCCGGGGGCAGCACGGTGGTCTGGCCTCTCCAGACCGCTCAGGCTATCGACAAAGACGCTGTCACCAATTTGGTGGACGATCGAAAGCCTTTATTATCTCATCTCGTGGGTTTAAATAGTCTTGGGGGTCTTTGCTACGTCAGAGGGGGGTTGCGGGGTCTCAGGGGTTAGTCGGTAGTGGAAAACTACTGGAACAGGTGTGGTCACATGCTCTGGGGTTAATAGATAACGTGGGGCAGGGAGAAGAAGGGGGGAAGGGTCTCTCTCTTTCCGTCACATCCCGTGATCTTCCATTCGCCTGTCCCTACTACTACAGCTGACCTACTGGAGAGCAGCTCTGTGGAGAAGCACCTGGGAGTCTTTGTGAATGATAAGCTGACTGTGAGCCAGCAGTGCCCTTGTGGCCAGGATGGCTAATGGGATCCTGCATCAGGAAGAGCATTGCCAGCAGGTCAACAAGGAGGCCACCTCTGCAGTGCTGTGTCCAGTTTCTCAGTGCAAGAACAAGGAGCTAATAGTGGAAGGTGTTCAGCAGGAGCCACAAAGATGATTAAGGGTCTGGAGCATCTCTCTCACAAGGAGAGATTGCAGGAGCAGGGCCTGCTTAGTCCAGAGCAGGGAAGACTGAAAGAGGACCTCATAAATACAAACATCTCAGATATGGGAGCCGACTTTTTTCAGTGGTGCTCAGTGACAGGACAAAGAATAATGACCATAAAATCAAGCACAAGAAGTTCTATGTTAACATGAGGAATGACTTTCAATAAGACTGGGAGAGCACTGGAACAGACTGCTCAGGGAGGTTGTGGAGTCTCCTGTTGTGGTGTGTTTTTTCATTAAATTGATATTCTTTCACTGTTTGTTCATTTCCTTTCTCCTTAATCTCCTCCCTTCCCCAGTTGTCAATCTTCCCAAGGTCTTCCCTAACCTCCTCCCCTCCAAGTTGTCAATCCTCCCTTTCCCTGCCTCTTTCCCTAGAACATTCCCTGTCCATTTAGTGGCATTCAACAGCCTATTGGTTACTTTGTGTTATTCCACTCCCCTATTTCCCCTGATAGGTTTATATGTTAGCCCTGCCTTTGACCCCTCCCCAGTTCTACCCTCATTGGTTATTGTTCCTACACCCCTCCTCCTGAGTTTCTGTACAAAAACCTGTGTTTGCCCTCCCAAGCTTGCTCTTGGGGTGCCATTATTTTCACCAAACAAATCCACCTTGTTATACATTTAGGCCCCTTTGCACCTTAATTGTTCTGTAATTCTGTGAAAATTCAGCAGAATACTTCTCGTGGTTTCAATGCTCCTGCTTTCTCAGGAGTGTCAGTCTGCCTCTCCTAGAGCATACACATCCACAGATTGGCTGCTTTAACTGCACTGGCACAGCTCACCTGAGATTCCCTGTGGATACAGCCTATTTTGCTTCCATGTGCACACACAGCTGCCTGAAGGCAGCAACCGCCAGAAGCTGGAACTTTAAAACACCCTGCAAACAACGGCATCAATTAATATAACACTGAATTAAATAAAGGAATGCAGATTTAAGCAGTGGCACCAGTTTTCAGAACTGAAGAGCCAGGCAGGTCCCCCCAACCTGAGGTCTTTTGGTAGAGCTATTCAGGTTGGAAAGCTAAGCAGCATCTGCTTCCTCTGCTAGGGATATGGGTAGGTTCCTTTGAAAGTGCCCAGGAGCCAAGTTCCTTCTGGATGCACATTTTTCTTCCCTGACTAGGGAGGAAGGCTCAGGCAGTCAATTTCACAACATCAGTATCTTCAGGAAAAGCCTGGCGTCAGTCCATATTACTCTTTTGTCCTTCTAAACTCAGAGGTACTGGTATATGAGCACACTTGAGAACCAAAGCAGTGCTTTCTCCCCACAAATCATCTATTGTCATGTTTTGTAGGAAAAGTTATTTCAACCAGGATACTTAGGAGCTGGGATGTAATAATTTGAATGACTGAGAAACTGTATTTCAGCTTTTATTAAAAAAAAAAAACAAACCCAAAACATCACTTTTACATTTCAGAACATTTTAAAACAAGGCCTTTCTGTTAAAGCTTTAGGTATCTAAAAAGTGTCTACATGATTCACACCTGTATGAAGCTTTGCAAGTCACACCATATTTGCCAAACAGCTATATTGCACAAAGATCCACACAATACCACACCATTTTTAGCTTAGTCTACATTGTAAAGTGCTGTTTCATAGGGAGAAACTTGAAAAAATAATTATCTGGATAGGCAAGTACTGCTGAACTGTATTTATGAAAGTTGACACTTCCATGGTAGCGGAAAAATATCACAGCGTGCTGTCAGTGCCTCTTGACAGTGTGTTTTTTATTTAATAAGAGTAAGCAGCAAAGACTACTGTCTGGAATGCATACTAAGTATTCAAGTAACACCAAAAGGCAAATCCATTTTTAAACTCAGCATGAGATAAATACAAACAGATATTTCAAAAGGTAGATAAATTTTTAAAGTAGCATCAGTTTCTGTCCAGTAGAGTAAGTAATTGCATAGCAGAACACATGTAAAATGAATCTGAAACTCCAGTAGAAAAAGCCCCTACATTTTTAATTTCTTACTTCTACAGTCTCAAACCAACAATCTTTTCTAGATCTTTGAGTCTGAGGCACTGTCTTCATATCTGCAATAGAGTGTTCCATTTACAAATATTTTCATAAAATAACAAAAGGTCCAGTAATACAAATCCGGGTGCTTATAAAAACTCTAAATGTGGAAATGTGGAGTGCTAACCATGACATAAAGCCTCTAATTTACCAGTTTCTGAAACAAAGGAATTAAAAATTAAACATTCATCTATGGGAGGAGATTTGGTCTGGAAAAGAAAGTTCAGCCCTACAACCTACAGCTCTAAGCCAGTTCTTAGTTTGGTAGATGAACTGACCATTGCCAGTTATACAAGGGGAGAAGTCACAGCTACTGAAGTGAGAATCCTTTCTTCTGGCTCTCTCTGACTGCTACACTTGGATGAAAGACCATGAATCACATACTCAACATAGTATACTAATGTAAGAGATTTCAGTGCTTGACTTGTGGTTTAATAAATTTTGGAGGAGGAAAAGAAGTAGAAGGAACAAAAAATCTTAACAACAGAGAGATCTTTTTAGTGTCACTACAACTTAGTTTGCTCCAAGACCTGGAAAACCAAACAAGCAAAAGAATGGGCATGTTTGTCTATCCAATTAAGCTACTACTCAGGAGCATCCAAGTCTAGCAGTGACTGAAAAGCTGCAGAAGGCCCTCAGGTCTTAGTGATTAGGTAAACAAGCATTATCAACATAAACAAATGCAAAACAGCATACCAGGTGGGGAAAACCCTGCATGCACAGCTAACCATCAGGACTGCATGAAAAACACTGCAGAAGAAGCTTCATCAGGAGCATGGTATTGGGTATCAACCAAATAAAAGGCAATTATGGTTTTAGGACTAAAAGAAGAAGGAAAACACAAAACTTGGTCATCCTTCACAGCAAGAGAGTGTCTTATGGACAGACTGTTCAGTCAGCCTCAGCAGGCAAGAAGAGAGCAATGGCTTCAATCCAGTTAGAGGGAAGGTGAAAGGGAGGGAATGACAGAAATTAAAGGCGATAATGATAATCATCTAAACCAGAAGAAAATACTAAAAAGGCTAACTTGTAAAAGACAATTTGTCTTTTCTCCTGCAGGAGAAAATTCCAAAAGGTACCCCGTATTTCATCCCTGCTACATCTTACACGATTCACACTGAATCTGTGGAGGGCACTTTCGCACAGCCTTATCAAGACAGAAACATTTGCAGGTGAGATCCAGACAAGAAGTTGTGCTTGCTGGGCCTTTCTGGTTGTCACCCTCATGCTGGCATAGACAACCATTTCTGACAGTTTTTTCTAATAGTAGCCACAGTCAGAAGCTTATGAGAGAAGACACTGGGAGAGGTGGACTCCAGGTCAGATCACTACAGCAGTGCAGACAGCAAAGCCCACAAAAGTTTTGTATTATGACCTACATTCACTTAACTGTATTGTGATTTTCAGGTCCCATTTCACAGCTCTACAGCTGTATACATGAACTTAGTGAGCATACTTCACACACATTTATCAAGATGCAACACTATCCCCAAATTACAAAGCATATCCCCAAATTAGAAAGCATATCCCCAAATTAGAAAGCACCAAGTATTTATTAGAAACATCCTTCACTCTAGATCTTTATTTTTCCACCAATCAACAGTACACATACCCTACTTCTTTTTATACATGGGTTTCTATAAAGAGAGGCAGTCCACCTCCATTCCCAGTAAGATAATGTAACATAGGTCCTTCTGGAACGTAGGTCAAAATTTATGGAAGACAAGAAAGTGATCAGGGACGGGCAGATGAGTTCACCAAGGGCAAGAAGCACCTGACTCATCTAGTGGTCTTCTGTGACCCAGTGACTGCACCAGAGGATAAGGGAAGAGCTAAGAGATACTAAGTACCTGGACTTCTGTAAGGCCTATGATAAGATCCCCCACAACATTCTTACCTCTAAACTTGAAAGAGCAGGGTTTAAGTGGATGGACCCAGTGAATAACAAATTGGCTGGATAGCTACACCCAAAGAATCACAGTCAACAGCTCAATGTCCAAGTAGAAACCAGTAATGGTGAGCAGTGTCCCTCAAGGGTCTGTACTGGCAACCAGTGTTGATGTGGATCTCATGAGGTTCCCCAAGACCAAGCAAAAGGTGTCTTGCACCTGGATCTAGGAAATTTACTCTATCAATACCAACTGGTGAATGAGGAGCAGCTCTGCAGAGAAGGACTTGGACATCCTGATGGATGAAAAATTGGCCATGAATCAGCAATGTGTGCTTGCAGCACAGAAAGCATCCTGAGCTGCCTGGAATACTGCATTCGGCTCTGGGAGCCCCCAGTACAGAATGGTTCCAGAGGAGAGGCACAAAATTGTCAGAGGGCTGGAACACCTCTCCTGTGAAGGTGCTGTAAGAGATGGAGTTATTCAGCATGGAGAAGGCTCCTGAAAGACCTAATTATGACCTTTTAATATATAAAAAATATTTTTTAAAAAGATGGAGAAGATTTATCAAGGCCTGGAGAGACAGGACAAAGAGCAATGGTTTTTAACTAAAAGATGATAGATTTAGGTTGGTTATACGGAAGAACTTTCTAACAATAAGGGTGGTAAGACACTGAAAAAGGTTTCCCAGAGAACCTGTGGATGCCCCATCCCTGGAAGTGTTCAGGGTCAGGTTTGATGCAACTTTGAACAACCTGGTCTAGTGGAAGATGTCTCTGCCCATGGCAAGGGGGGTTGGAACTAGATGGTATTTAAAGGTCCCTTCCAACTCAATCTGTTCCCATGATTATATGATTCTGTGAAAAACTACTGTGTGATACAGTTTTTAACATCAGAGGAACTGAAATTTGAAGGGAGACATTCTTTAAGGCAGAAATTAGGTCTCCAAACTTAACCAGTGCATTTTTAACATTCTTACTAAGAAAAATTCAAGCTGCTACTAGATGAAAAAAAAAAAAAAAAAAAAACTATAAAAGCAAGTGTTAAATACCTGATTTTATTTTTTTAAATTCACATATAATTACTCATGTCAGCAACTCACTTGCTTTGCCTAAATACCAGGTACTGTTATTCATGCATGCAAACCTTTCTGATTTTTGACTCCAGATTCTGACATTTAAGGTACAATTGCACTTTCTTTTAGATAGCTTATAGTAAAAGCCTGGAAAAATAAAGGAACTTACCATTATCCCACCAACTATATGACACTGAGTGTCAGAACTTGCATTTTAACTTACAATCACATTAAGGGTATATAACATGCAATCAGAATCAAGTTTACCTTCATCATTCCAAGTATAAGTTAAACATTCAACACCATTTCTAATTTCTTCCTCTTTCATATTCTATTTCTATATGCTATTCTGTGCTGAAAGGCCCAACTGGTGCTCAGGGGTAACTGGAAAGCATTTAACCCTGTAGAGGCATTTAGGCAGATTTCTTAAAAGGAGAATGGCTGTAGACATTCTCAGTTCAGTCAGAGAGAAAACAAAGCTTTCTAACCAGGCAGAAGCCTGGGAAACAGTTGAGAAAGAATGTAAATAATTCTTTATCTCTCTTGTTCACATTGTTTATAGATAAGTTCTGCCACTGTGCATCATTCACTGCACACCAATGAAGTGATGTTTTTAGTCTAGGACCAATAAAATAGGTCTAGACAATACTCTCTATAAAAGAGAGGTGTATTTAAAATAAATCAGAGTTCTACTCTCAAACCTTCTGATGTGGAGTCCTTTCATACCATCCTGCCTCAACAGTGTCAAATGGCAATCACACACCACAAGCTTTGACTTCATTAAATACAAAACCAACTGTTTAAGGATTTAAGTTAAATAAAAGGCAGATTTCTACCCCAAAGAGTAATTTTTTGGTTGCTAGTCCTAAAAAGTAAATTTTGATTGCTAGTCAGACTTCTTTCCTGCTTCCCCCAGCAAAAGAAGTCTGTGGAGAATAGCATTGCACAGATCACAAGAAAGGTAGGAGAATTCCTCTGGTGCAGGAAGCACCTGGACTATTTATTTTAAAAAATCACAGGCCAGAGGCTTGTGAGCAACACGTAAGTAGAATATAATTTATCAGGACTAAAAGCTAAGGTAGAATTCTTCTGCTTTCATTTTCGGTCTCAGAACAGCAATGGGAAGAGATTCATGCACTAGATGTCATCGTGATACTCCCTGTACTTGGCTGTGACAGCTTCCTCAAGGTGCACTGCTGCACTGCCCATTAAAGCAAACGCTGGGTACATTAAGCCAGAGCAATCAACCTCACATTCGTACAGGCACTTCATACGGCCTGCATCATAAAACCCTACCCTGCCTCTGTCACAGTCAAGGCAAATGCCCAAGCACGATGGCAGGGGAAGGATTCTGCTGGCTGGATCCTTAGGAGCAGCAGGTGTAGCAGGAATAAAGAACTTCTTCATGCCTAAAGTGACCAGTGTGCAAGGCTGCGATGAGTCAAAGAAGGTATCTTCACTCCCACTGTCATGACCACTGTCTTGCTCATATCTGGAATACAAAAAAGAAAAAAACATGTGCTTTTTGTCAAATGCTGAAGTGGGATCAGTGATGTGAATGGGAGAAGAACATTTCTGTGAGATAAGCAACATCACATAATTACCCAAAAAAACCTTGGCTGGTTAAAAAAATCATGGAATCATACAATATCCTGAATTAGAAGGAAACAAGAAAAAACACTGAATTGCAAGTCCTGCCAGCTGCAGGCTCCATACATTCCAGACATTATGTTACAGACAGCACCACCCCCACCTCATCTGTCCTCCTGTCCCTCTCAAGAGCCTGTAACCCGCAGGCCACCACAATCACAGCACTCATCCCACCAGGCTTTGCTTACACCAGTGATACACACTTTAGCCAGGAAGGAAGATGCACTTAGTAGGTGAAGACTCACTTGGGTTACTTCAAACAATTAATAACAGCTGAACTCAAATGAGGACAAGACCACAGAAGGCTTTACTAAAGAGTGGATGTATCTAAATATACTTATGCGAGGCAATAATTAATAAACCTACAGGTACAGTAAATCAGTTAACTTGAGAAGTAACTTAGCAAATATGATCAATCCTTACAGGCAAGAACATGTCCTGTGAGTTTTCCATGATGCTGCTATGTTACAGTATCTGTAAAATTCACAAAACAAAAGGTGTAGTGCTTTAGTGGTTTAAGTTTTGGTGGTTTTTTTTAATTGCTATGTCTGAAGAATTCCCTGAATAGTTTCCCAGATGGTTACTGAAGAGTCTGCAGACATATTTGGTCAGTCTGCATGCTTTTCCCTCCACCTCTGTCCCCAGATAAAGACACATGGAGAAGCACACATTCTTCAATACAGACATTCCTTACTTAGGATTTCAGTTTTGGGATGCTTGTGAGGGCAGTTGTTTCTGTGTCAGCTAAAATTTTGCAGATATCTATGTGGAGAAGGAAAAAGAAATCGGAAAATTTAGATCTAATTTCTCACTTTGCAAATGGCTCCATCTGGCTTTAAGCAGCTCAAGATTGTGCTGACACATTTTCTATTGAAGAAGCCAAAAATTTGTTAAATTTCTGAAAAAGAGTCCCCAGAAGATAGCCTCCCTTCCATGCAGTTCCTACACACACCCAGGCTTGCTACAACTGTAATTGTGAGATGGAAATCTTTTTATTGGCACTGCACTTTAGCTTGTGCTCAGCAGCACTCCAATACAAGCATGTAGCTTGGCATAAGCCAGTGACTTGGAATCCACTGTGACACAGCTACTGCAAAAACAAATATGCACAGTGAACACTGTTCCTCTGAAAGGCTGCCAAACCTTTTATGCTAAGGGAATTAAGGCAGAGCCTTGCTACTGATATTCAAGCATTCAATCTTAAAACTTACTTTTAACCTTCTTGCTTTAACTGACATTCCTTGGCATCTACAGGAAACTGACTTCTTTCCCAAAAAGAAAGAAAATAAGACTCTGGATAATCAGGACATCTTTTTACTAATAATGGGACAACCTGTTTACACCATATCCTTCAAACTTTTCACTAGTTAGCTCACCTTGCATACTAACTGAGAACAGACTTGCTCTTCATTTACTTTTTTAAAAAGCAGCCCTCTTACGCAATTTACCTTGGACTGGTTACATCATGGGTATTGTGGAACAATTTCTGTATCTTGTTGCTAGGAACAACTCCCACTTTCACCAGGTATGAATAGGCTTCCACAGTAAAAGCCCAGAAGTGCTTCCCTTTGGCAATCCCAGTGTCACCAATGATGTAATCCAGGGTTGTGTAGCATCCAACCTGCAAGCGCTCAGATCCCAGAAGCAGAGGAAATCCAGCCCTACTTTCAACCGAGGTTCTTCTTGGGTTCAGCTGGAGATGTTCATTGTTGTACCCACATTTGTCATCAAAAAGAAAACTGAAAACTGAAAAACAGTATCCGAAAAAATTCTGCTTAGTTATGTATTTGGCCTTCTGTGCTTATAAACTACATTTTAAATCATACTGGCATTAGAATTTGTCACTTTTAAAGGCTACCAGGACTGTCATGCAAGCTAACAATCTCTGTATGTTACCTGCTTAATCTATAACAATACTTCTAAACATTTATGAAATTGCTAACAGTGTAAGAGACATCTGGGAGCTACTGGAAATTACTTTCAGCTCTCAATACTGACAGACATAAGGAAACCCCATACCTGGGGCTGGAGGAGTACGCATAATAACTTCCCTGCTCCAAGGGCTACAGATGGACCCTTTGTAGCCTCGAACTCTAAAGGCATAGCTGCTGTCATCATCAAGATCAGATAATACTTTGCTCTTGCCACAAACTTCAGTCTTTTGCCATGTCACACTCTCCTCTTCTTTAGTAAGTTTATGATACTCAAGAACATAGGTATCAGCTGACTCTGTCTTCCCAGGGCATTCCCAGCTGATTAGAGCTTTTTTGTACATTCTGCTCTGTGCTTCATTGATTTCTGGTATTTCTAGACCTGAAACAAATGAGAAAAAAAAAGCTCTGAAATTTAGATATATATTGTTTTGGAGTTAACCATACAACCAGTCCTGGGTAACCCAAAATGTTATTGTATTCCAAGTCTATCCGTGCTCCTGTGAGATTTCAGCTACTTTGTAGCTAGGGACAATTACAATTATTTTGGCCATTGCTATTTTAGTTTTTTTAGTAAACTTATTTTTTTCACTTCTATCAACTCATATTTGTTTTTCCTTATTGGTGGAAAGGGATTGGTTAAAACTATATTGAGAGGAAACTCATTTTAAAGCATCTACCTCTTAAAGATGTCTTAAACAAAGACATAACCCCTTTGTTGATCTGTTAGTTAAAAGGAGTAGATGAGGATAGTTCTCTGTTCATACACTTAAATAAATCCCCTATTTTTATATGTTTTTACTTTGAAAGGCCTGAGCATTCTGGCAGCTTTAAAAAACTATTACTTTCTGTTATGCAATAAAAAGCTTTTAGAAGGACTGAATGTGATGTAAATACAATATTTTGAAGCCAGTCCAAACTGGTACTTAAGAAAATGTCTTTTTAGCTTCTTTATGAAAGCTGAAACTAACACTGCTGCCAAGTAATGCTTTCTGAATCATGGAGACAGAAGGAACAATGCAAGCCACAACACTGAGCTCTGCAACTGCTGCCCTGTGCAAGTTCTGGCTTTCTCCAGAGAAGCTCTTAAAGCTAAAACCTGAGAAAGACCTAATGCTCTCAGAATTTACCATTGGAATGGAAGGACAAGTCACCAAGGATGTCTTCTTGCTTGGCAGTGTCCACCACAAAGTCTTCAAAAGTAGTTTCAGCTGCTGGCCTAAAGCTCTTCAGAGACTCGGTAGCTTTTTGGATTCTGAAAAGACAAAAGTAGGATAGCACAAGAAAAAAAAGGCAATTGTAGTTCGACATCATCTAAAGTAAAAATGCTAGGTTTTGTGTTACAGTGCGCTCAGGATATGCTTTACCCCATTTCCAGGGACCCCTATGACTGGGATCAGATAAGCCTGGTCCTTTCCTTTCTGCTCTGATGGGGTTGGCGGAGAGCCAGAGAAGCCCTCCCTGTCCAGAGCCTAGATAAGGCCATGACCCTTCCTGTTCACCCTCATTCCTCCCTCATCTCATGAAATAAAGAAGCTGGACAACCACATCGGAGTGAGAGCCTCTTCTGAATTTTTGCCCATCTCCTGATGTTCCTCCCCTCAAGGCCTCCTATCTCTGGGTTAGCCTAAAAATTTAGGGGCTGAGAGAGGTAGGAGCATCAGTTGGCCCCCGCGGCACTGGCAACCCGGGAGAGGGGGGGGTGAGGTGCTTCTCACCAGGATCTAGGAGGTGGGGGTGAGAAAAACTCCTGCCTCTATGGACATTGGAAATGAATTAATGCCATCTGTAGCACCTGTTGTATACCTAGGTAGGAGAAACGGCACCAGAACGTACCAACCACTACCACATAGAGACAAAACAGAGAGTTGTAAAATACAGAGAGAATCTGGGAGATCAAGCAAGATTTTCAAAGGGATGATGAGGACAACTTTTAATTCAAATGAGATGGTACCGAGATATATTACTGATTTATTTAAATGTTTACTAAGCCCTTCTATATATGAGATATGGAAAAATAAATGGAAGTTGGCTTTAACAGCAGTTTTAAAGGAGATACAACAAACACCCCAGTGAGGCCCATGACAATGATGGTAACACTATTACAATAGATCACCTATGTGACACAGGTGACTGGCATTGTCCAGAAAATCAAATTCGAGTGTTATCTAAGTCAGTTTTAGATAAAAACTGTAATGCTGAAGAAAAAACATTTTATCAATTACCAATAACTGAGGCTAAGGGTTTCTCGAGGCGCTTGAGAAACTTGTAGAGGAGCAATTGGCTCAAGGACACATACAAGAGACAGATAGCTCTTGGAACTTCCCAGTCTTTGTAATAAAGAAGCCTGGGAGGGACAAGTGGAGATTGCTCCACAATCTCCAAGAAATAAACAAAATTTTAGAGGACATGGATCCACTCCAGCCAGGGATGCCTAGTCCAGCAATGCTCCCTCAAGATTGACAATTGGCTGTCCTAGATATCAAGGACTGTTTTTTCCAAATTCCATTGCACCCTGAAGATGCCCCGAGGTTTGCATTCTCAGTTCCCACCATCAATCGGGAAGCCCCAATGAAACGCTTCACTGGAAAGTTTTGCCCCAAGGTCTAAAATCCAGTCCTTTCATATGCCAACAGTATGTAGCAGCACTACTGTCTCCAGTACATGCAGCGAGAAAGGATGCCATCATCCTTCACTACATGGATGATGTGCTTGTGTGTGCCCCCAATGACTCTATACTCCAATACATGCTTGACCTAGTGGTTGAAGTTTTAACCTCTGTTGGATTTCAACTGCAGAAAAACAAAGTTCAAAGTATGCCACCTTGGAGATACCTGGGCCTAGAAATCTCTGCAAGGACTATTGTCCCTCAGAAATTGGAGATCAATTGCAACCCCAGAACACTAGCAGACCTCCACTCGCTGTGTGGGTCTTTAAATTGGGCAAGGCCCTGGCTAGGCCTCCCAAATGAGGACCTAGAACCTCTCTTCAATTTATTGAAGGGGGAGAGGGAGCTGGTCTCCCCCAGGGAACTGACCCCAGAGGCAAAGACAGCCATCGTAAAGGTACAGAAGGCCTTGTCAGAAAGGCAGGCACATCGGTGTGACCCAAACGTGCCTTTCCAGTTCATTGTTCTAGGAAAGCTGCCGCACCTACATGGGTTGATTTTCCAATGGATTGAGGGGCAGAAGGATCCACTCTTAATCATAGAATGGGTTTTCCTATTGCTCCAAACATCCAAGACCATCACTAAGCCACAAGAACTGATAGCAAAGCTGATTCAGAAGGCCAGGGTGAGGTTGTGCGAATTACATCCACTTGCATGTAATCGCCTCCCAGACAGGCTTTCTGAGGAGAGAAGGAATCTCCTGAGAGACTGACCAAAGGGATGTTTGAGCATTTGCTCCAGAGCAGCGCCAGTCTCCAGTTATTTCTGGACAGCTACAGGGGACAAATATCAGTCCATGCCCCGTCTCTTAAGTTGTTCAATGAGGAATTCCACCTTATTCCTCGAGAGAAAAGGAATCGGAGACCACTCGATGCTCTCACAGTGTTCACGGATGCATCTGAGACTTCCCACAAGTCGGTGATGACTTGGAGAAATTCACAGACTCAGCATTGGGAAGCTGATGTTGAGCTTGTGGAGGGATCCCCCCAGGTGGCTGAACTGACTGCAGTGGTGAGAGCTTTTGAAAAGTTTTCTGAGCCATTAAACTTGGTGACAGACTCTGCCTATGTGGCAGGAGTAGTGTCCAGGGTGGAGCAGGCCGTGCTCAAAGAAATAGAGAATGAACAGCAATTCAGATTGCTCTCAAGGCTGATTTATTTAATCTCTCACCGAGAGCATCCATTCTTTGTGATGCATGTGAGGTCACACACTGATTTGCCAGGTGAGATTGCAGAGGGGAATCGCAAAGCAGACTCCCTTGCTGCACCAGTAGAAAAAGCATGTCTCCCTGATGTTTTCCAACAGGCAAAGCTGAGTCACCAGCATTACCATCAGAATTTGCCAGGTTTGATTCGACAGTTCCAGCTAACACGGAGTCAGGCCCGAGCCATTGTGACCAACTGTCCTAATTGTCAGCTCCAGGCCATGCCATCGATGGGCATGGGGGTAAACCCCAGAGGCCTTAGCAGCTGTGAGGTATGGCAGACAGACATCACACACATTCAGAGTTTTGGTCGCCTTGAATGCGTTCATGTAAGCGTGGACACATTCTCAGGTGCAGTGTATGCCTCTGCTCATATAGGACAAAAGGCTACACATGTCAAACAACACCTAATGCAAGCATTTTCAGTATTGGGGGTGCCAAAAACTATCAAAACAGATAATGGCCCAGCGTATATATCCAAGGAGTTTCTGGAATTTCTCCAGCAGTGGGGAGTGGAACATAAGACTGGCATTGCCCACTCCCCCACAGTTCAAGCTGTGGTCAAGCGTGCACACCAGACGTTCAAACAGGTATTGAAGAAACAAAACAGCTCAGCTCTGTGGATGTCTCCACGAAAGAGGCTCTGTAAAGCCATGTTTACCATCAATTTTCTGAACTGTTCATTTGAAAACATGAGTCCACCTGTTGTACGTCACTTTAACAGTGGTAATCAGTTCAAATTGTCTCAGCATCCACCAGTCTTGATCAGGGATCCAGAAACTTGGGAAACCAAGGGTCCCTATGGACTTGTAACCTGGGGTCATGGCTATGCGTGTGTAGCTACTCCCTCAGGCCCTCGGTGGATTCCCCAGAAGTGGGTGAAACCTTTTGTCCCCAAGAATCCAGGTCAGACAGAAGGGGATGAGAAGCAAGTAGCTGATGCTTCAAAGAGAAGTCGCCGCCGAATGGAAGAAGAAGAATTTTCCTAAGTGTGAATTTCTTCCAGCAGAAATAGAAACTTTAACGTATTCTCCAAATGTTTGTTTTTCCCTTTTAGAGAAAACCTACCTCCCACTGAACCCTGTGATGAACCCCATCCAAGTTGTCATCTTGCTAATGAAGAACTGTTCAAGGGCTGGGGATTCACAGGGTGGTGGACATCTATTGTTAGATCAATTTTATTACTTGTTATTCTGTTCCTTGTAACCTTGGCGTTCGGGATCCTGCGTCACTTGGTTTTCAAAGCTATCAAGGGTCTCATACCTTCTACCTCAGAAGTCAACCACGTAGCCCAGTGAATCCCTGTAACCTTGTTAAACAAATAAGGGGGAGGTGTTACAGTGTGCTCAGGATATGCTTTACCCCATTTCCAGGGACCCCTGTGACTGGGATCAGATAAGCCTGGTCTTTTCCTTCCTGCTCTGACAAGGTTGGCGGAGAGCCAGAGAAGCCCTCCCTGTCCAGAGCCTAGATAAGGCCATGACCCTTCCTGTTCACCCTCTTTCCTCCCTCATCTCATGGAATAAACAAGCTGGACAACCACATCAGGGTGAGAGCCTCTTTTAAATCTTTGCCCATCTCCTGACGTCCCTCCCCTCAAGGTCTCATATCTCTGGGCTAGCCTAATAATTTAGGGGCTGAGAGAGATAGGAGCAGCAGTTTTGCTTCAAAAAAAGTTCTGCTTTCATGTACTTACTGATGTCTCCCAGAAATTTTCTCTAGAATCTCTAAAAAGATTCTCAAATGCATAATTTAAAGGCCTTTTGTACATCTGTGTAAAGATAATGAACAGGTAGTCATTCAGTTGGGAAAGTATATAAACAATTTGGAGGATTATGTTCAAAGTACCAAAGTGATGTGAGGCACTAGTAGAGAACACAAAGATCAAAGAGCCTAAAGCCAAAAGAGACCTGTTAGATTAACTTGCAAATACTTGATAAAATATCTGAGACAAGGAATTTGTCAAGGAGCTAAACAAAGTATCCACTCACTGCAGTCCCACTGAACAAGGCTAGGCATTGTGGCAGGACAAGAGCACTCCTTTTCTGAGTGTTGTTTCCTAATGTCCACTAATGCAGAAATTCCAGCTGAACATGACCAGGAACATCTCCCAAGAATACAACTGCATGGACATCCTGGAACAGTACTTGTGCCTCAAACAAGGTATTTAAGATACCTGACATGAAGCTGTTTTGCTGTTTGAACAAAACAGGAGGGATCTGTTTCTTTCAGCACTTCTTGAGCATATCCTACAAGGCCATTATTTTCCAGGAGCCCTTGGTATTCTTCCACTTGTGTTTGCAGTTTTTCCAGCCTTCTATTCTTAGAGGTTTCAATTGCCCTAAGAGCTGCAGATTTCTTCTCTTCCAGGACATGGTATAATTTCTCAAAACTCTGAGATGCTTCTTGTTTAGCTCTTTCACTGTTGCACTAGGAGCAAACAAAAGACATTTCAGACAGATTCTGCATCGCTGTGACTATATAGAAACATACTTAAGGTTGTTCAAGACATTACAGTAATCTAGTCACCCATTTGACAGTTAAGACTAATGAGCTTTGTTATGCTATTCAGCACTAAAAATGAGATCAGCACACCACCTCAGTATTTGCTGTCTTTAACAGAGAATGGAGAGTAGGAAAGCATTCCTCTGATTATGCCTTGAGTTATGCATTACATTTGTCTCTCTAGCTCATGAAAAAGCACTGTAAAAACATGTCAGTCTCTGAAGTCTTCATGCCCAAGAGTTAGATGCTCTTCCACCCTCCCCAACCACCCTGACCAGAGGGTCCAGCCAAGCTTCTCGTTTACACCCTCTGAACCATAGTGCCACCTCTAAATACTGTCCTGGATAAAAGGAACTGCAAAACACAGAGGCAGTCTGTAATCAAAACACATCAGTACTAGAAGCTTCTGATACTTCTGCCTTCATATTTTTGGCTTGTATGTGACTCTTCTGCAGGGAGATTTTGCCCTTAATTCTGACTTTTTCAAGGTAAACAGGCAGCATAAATACTGCATCATCATAAATACAGAAATGCCCCTATGCTTAACCCACTTTGGTTAAGGTATCAAATAAGCTTTATTTTATTTCAATTTACAGCAGCACTCAAAAATGAACTTCCCCTTGTCTGCTTCCCATCCTGGCAGGACTAGGTTTTACCATGTGTGATTTAGTCTACCCCAAACTGTTCAAAAATTGGTTTACTACTTAACTGAAAAAAGCAAAGTTAGAAACACGTCACTGAAAATATTTTGAATCCTTCCTGTGTAATAGGCCAACCCCAGCCAACCTTCAAGCCACTCTTACCTCTGTTTCTTTCAGCAGCAGATCCAGCTGTGTGATGTGAGCTTTCACCTGGCTCTCCTTACTGATGAGATACTCGATATCTTTTGAAAGTTTCTCCTGTTGAAGTAAAACAGCCAGAATAGGGCATCTCACAGACAGTGACAACCAGCACAGGCAGGTCATTCAGCTAGTCCTCATTTTATCTAGCCACAGGGACAACAGCGTGACACCAGTTATGAGCAGCAGTCCTGTGAAGAATTGTTTGGTGACCTGCAGTGACTGCAAAGCAACTATACAAGGTCAGCTGGCTCCCAGTCACCCAGGAATCACCCTCTCTAAGAATGGGAAAAAGGGGCTTCAGGACATTAAACTTACGAGAAGGAGTTGATAGTTATTAACTCATTTGTAATAAGAGTTGCTAGAAAAATGAGTAGCTCAAATCACAGATTTGTCCCTGTGCTTCCCTAGCTGCAAGAGTTAGCAGCTGTACAGGAAAAGCCTTGCAAACTGGTAAGGAGGCCAAAGAGCAGAAGGCAGGCTAATCTGGTCTTTTTTTTTTTAACCTCCTGAGAGCAAGAGAGGAAGAAAAGGAAGAAGAGGAAGTAGGTGTGTCTTTAATAACAAATTGATATTTGCAAGTCTTCTCTGTTGTGCTTTGCTTAGGAAATTAACAGCTATGCAGCTTGAGAAACATACAAAGATACATACACAAATATCAACAGATATTTCAGATGCCAATTTGTTAGAAGCACTTCCCAAGTATCCTCTACCACAAGCTACCTGAACACTTCTATTAAAAAATTTGATTGTAAAGTTGATTAACTGCTCAAACCTTCTGCATTGTCTGTACTGCTGTACAATTAGCTGAAATAAAATGACAGCACTTTCTGGGGTTATGTTTCGAGCATCATAGCAAACAGTTTAGTTTCTAAAACATGCTTTATATCACATTAATGATACATTAATGAATGTTGCACAACAACAGGACTCAAGACTAGTTCAGGGTCTCCTAAACACACATCCTGGCTTCTATCCAGTGGGAGTTTGCCCTCACATCAGAAGTACTCTTCTCCTTAAGGCAGGTCCAATGATATTTTCTTTTACCTTAAGGGTTTTGTAGGCAGTGCTCATGGTTGTTACTCTATGGTTTGCATGACTTCCACCCAGTTTGCAAAGATGACAAACAGGCCTTCTGCAGATTTCACAGTACATGTTTACTCTCTCCATTTCATGTTCTGGACACATCAAAATCTGTGGGGGAAAAAAAGAGCAGAGACAATACAGATGTACTTCCAAAAATGGAGGTTCTCAACAAAAATCAAAACACCCAATGAACCCAAAGCAGCATATGACTTCATCAGTGAAATTTTTATAGTCAGTTTATCTTCTACCTTTTATATTTTTCAGTGCCATTGAAAGACAGCAGATGAACACTCACAGTTTCACAAGGTTTACAGTAAGTAAGCCTCTAGCACTATCTGTGTAGCCTCCATATAGCAATCAATCTTTTGCTAAACCCTGCCCATGTTATTTGCAATGCATCCAGCACCCTACACTCCAGCTCAGAGCTGTAAATGCAATATTTAACACACCCAGCCTGTCAAACTTAACTATGCTCATGCCAGCATCTCTTCCAACAGCTATGAGCTGTTTCTTAAAGCAAGAGCTGACATAATATTGTAGCAGTTTAAGTACAAGGTAGATTTTGAAAAACCACATAGCCATTGCTCTTGGAGCTACGAAGTGCAACCACCACCTACAGCTACGATAATTTTGAAGACAAAAGACTCCAGTGTTTCAATCCTTCTGTTTGAATCCAGTTACGAGGTGCTCACACTGACTGCTACTTCCAGGATTAACTCAAACAGCATTGCATGAAAGCTGGTTTGCTAAAAATCAGCTTTCAAAAATTGAACTTTTTGAAATAAACACTCAAAGAGTTTAAAAAGTGCTGCTCAAATCCAAGCTCAGGTAACACATTAAACAATATAATGTGTGTGTGTGTGTGTGTGTGTGTTGGTTAAAGAAGAAAACAAACAATGCTTGCTTTGCCTCATTCTAGAGTGCTGAAAGAAAACATTTAGCTCATCTAGTCCACAGAAGTTACCAAAGAGGAGCTTTTGCGGAAGCTTTTCAGTTTCAACATGCCCCCGCACAAGAAAGGTCACAAAAGAGCATAAAAATAGAATTGTGAGTAGCATAAATATGGATACAAAAAGCTAAAACCTGAAACAAGCTTTCAAGTCTCAAATATTAGCTTAAAGTATGGTGAAAAACCCAAAGGCACCACTCTCACCAGCACCTTAAGACTATCATTAAACCAAATATGCAATTAGCAATCCCATATGGATTGACTGCTGGATTTGGAAGGAAATAAAAAAGGGAAAAAAGGAAGCTGCCAAGAAAATCAGCTGTGCAAGCAAACATCTCCAAAAACTACAGTCATTCAGTTAGTCTGTGTCAATAAATTTTCCACAGCAGTGTACAGCCACACCTCACAGAAAATCCAAATTTTTATTCATCTCCTCATATAAGCAAGAATTACAGCTTGCAAGCAAGAGACAGCAGAGGTCAGCAGACTGCCTTGTCTTCTCTCAAAATTCTAGAACAATCAGCCCAGTATGTTCTTCTCCCATCCCCACCACACACGCTTCAAAGTGCTCTCCAGCCTGGTTGTAAATTAAAGAGGTGACTGGGAACATTGGTTAGGAAATCAACAAATACTTCATGCTTTCAGTTCAAGTCTTAAAAATGCTGTGCAATGAAAAATGCACTTTTCTTTCTTTATAGTAAGCTCAAACAGTCCTCAGAAAAGTTTCTATAAGAGCACAGTAAAGATCAGCTTACCGCATTTGGGAAGTTTTTTAAAACAGGTAGATGTATCTAAAGTTAGCCACACTATGCTTTTCTCCTTTTTTCCCCTCTTCCTGTCTTCACATATAATTAGAAATGCTAAATCCCACATGCGCACACATATTCAATACATCAGTGACAGAATAATCTAAACCACTTCATCCCATTTTACTGTGCTTCAAGAGAACTCAACTACTGACTTTTAATCCTGAATTCAGTTTGCATGTAGTATAACACCACAGGGCACTTTTAGGAGCGCGCAGGGATCACAAGATGCCTTTGATATTTTCCAATAGCAACATTGCAGCTGTGAGGGTTTAGATGCCATAGAAGAGTAAGTTTTTAAGGAGCTTTATAGCATCTTAAAGCAAGAGCTAGATATAGTATGCAAACTTTCACCTTTCTCATTTGTCCAATAGAGAGACTATTTCACACAATGTGTGTGCAAGCACATTTGAAAACATATGAAGCTCATGCTCACTTTTAACTGGAATGAATATTTTAGACTCAAGGAAAACTCCGCCAAGATGTTCACTATCTCATAGCCTGCTAACTTTAGAGGCTCATATTTTTCCAATCTCAGAAGGAAAGTACACCAGCAGTTAAGAGCTTCTTACACATTGCACATTAATCAAATTTACTTAAACATAATTAATCAGGACTCCTTGACCATCAGCATTTCTGGCACCTGTGGGACGTCCAGCAAGGAGGCACAGGCACACAGCATGTGCTGAGACATTAAGGCCATTATTGTGGTCCTTGGTTAGCAAGATAGTGTCTGTGACCTGTAACATCTGTAATCTAACAAATTCAATAGGGCACTGCCACGTACTGCACCATGCTCAGCATGAGACACAAAGGTAGTGGCATTTTGTTATCACTGTTTTGTCTGAATGCAGTAACAACAGCACCAGTGTATAAAGCAGAAATTTTGCCATAACATTTTTATCTCTTCTGCTATAGATAAAAAAAAAAAATGGTGTAATAACAATGGAGACTATACCTCCACCTTTTGCTCTTGTTAGATGCAAGGAAGAAGAGAAAGAATATGCTTGGTGATAGATTAAATTCAAGCACAAAGTATCCAAAGGGGATGTACCTAAAAGGGGGCATGAAAGAGGCCAGGTGTGCTGGGTTTTTTAAGTTTAACACACACAGACATCCTCCCTAGGCAGTCCATTTCAGATGCTCAAGAGGAAGGTGCCAAAAATACCAAGGGTGTGGATTCAATCCCTGTATGAATCATTCACTTAAAAGCTGAACTTGATGATCCTTGTGGGCCTCTTCCAAGTTAGAATATTCAGTTACTTGTGACCATTAAGCCTTAAAAAAGAAAAAAAAAAAGAAAAAAAAAAAAAAAGAAAAGGAAAGAAAGACTCAAATCACAAGGAACACAATCCACTCAACAAAGTAAAAACCCTTATTTTTACAGGACCCTTCAAGTATGTTTTCAATGTCCCATTCAATGACAGCAAAGAGCAAAAGCTTGTAGTTCACTCAATAAATAACAGCAATTGTCAAGAAAGCAATCATGGTCCTAAAAAGCAACTATCAGACACAGACACTGATGTGTCGGCAGCTACAGAAGAATGCTGCAACCTGAATTCCACAAGTATACTTACCTTGGGTCTGAAGTTGGTGGTTGGTCCTACGTATTCATGCTGGGCTTTCACAGTTCCCCAAGGATGGTGGATTTTGAAACATTCATTGCAATAGCTTGCACTGCAGTCCATGCAGCTCTTTGTGGACTCCTGAGGTGGAGGTTTGCAGAAATCACACATAATAGCAATGGCTGCCCTGGCTGCCTGTCTGTATCTTTCCACAATGGTTTCCAAAGTGAAGTTGCGAAATAAGCCATTGATGCCACGCTCCCCGAGATCAATATCCCGCTGGCAACTCGGACAAGGAAACAGAGTCGATCTAGGAGTCAGTGAATTGCGTTTTCTGCCTGCGTAGACATCAAAACCCAGCTTAGGATGAGCATAAACCAAACTGGTTTAGATTTTAAAAGAAGCACAGGAATTTACAAACCAATTCCAGACTGTAGCACATCGTCCAAACCAGTACATACGTCCAAACACCAAATCATATGCAGTCTGCCAAGCCAAAGAGAATACAATTGCCCTGACAAGGTAGTGTAATGTCTGACTCCAAGGAACATTACAAACTACTACTAGAAAACTTAATTTTATGTTAAGATAAATTTAGCTCTTCCAATTCCATTTTCTTTATCTAGTTTTGGATGCACTCAAGCTGTAACCTTTTGAAACAATAAACAAAAACTTTCTGGAAGCCAGGTGGTTTCAGACTAACTGGTTACCTGTATAGGGAGCAACAGCTTCCTAACATATTGTAGGAGCTCCTTGAAATTTGTTTTGGCTGAGTTCAAACTTACTTTACTCATCCCCAGAGGCATCATAAAAAAAACCCCAGGAAAACAAGGGAACAGTATGACATCTCAGCCAAATAAATTAGTCAAAAAATGCTTAGGCTCACTTGGTGCCTTCTGAAAGGCCTCAATAGAGGAGGGCTGCTAAATGAGCCCTACACACCAAAGGAGAATCTGAGATAGTTATATCTTCAGGTTACTCTACTCTGAACTGAGGAACCACGGATTTCCACAGGGATGTTAAACAGCATATATCTACCTCTGTTAATTCCTGAAGAGGGAGCTGCAGAGAAGCTGCAGTCCTACCAAACAGCTACACACAAATTTCCCCCTTTCTCCAAAGTAAAATCACATGCTCAAGAAAAGCCACTCACTTAAAGAGCCTTTTGTGTCTGTAAGGAGATGGCTGACACAAACTCACAGGTTATTCACAACGTAATATTCCTGAGGTTATCAAACCAGGAGTGCATCCTGTTCACTCATGAACCCACAGGCTGCAACTACCAGAAAGAATCCTTTATGTATTCCAAAAGCAGGCTTTAGGCTTAACTTGTATTCTCTCAGCTTCTCCTTACAGAGAAACACAAAAACCCCATATTCTGCAGTGCTGGTGCATTGCTTTAAGATCTCTTTGAGAGCACTGCACACTGGTGTAACCAACTGTCCTGATTTCATCTGGGTTAGAGATCATTTTCTTAGTAGCTGGTACAGCACTGTGGTTTGGATTCAGTATGAGGTTATTATGCACTGATGTTTTGGCTGTTGCTAAGTAGTGCTTACCCTAAATCCAGGACTTTCCAGTTTTCCACACTTCACCAGAGAGCAGGTGCATGAAAAGCCAGGAGGGAAAATAGACAGGACAGCTGACCCAAACAGCCAAAGAGATATTCCAAACCATAACATGTCATGTCCAGGACATAAACTAGGGGCAGTCAGGCGTGACAGGGTGGGCATTGGGTGAGCAATTGTATTGTGCATCGCTTGTTTCTCTTGGATTTTATTCTTCTCTCGCCTTTGTATTACCATTTTTTTATTATTTTTATCTCTCCAATATATACTCCAGTATATAATTCACTCTATTCCAGCTGAAACCAGGACACTAACAAATTTTTAAATGGAGGTATGACTTAAAGCTGAATTCTTAGTGTTGAAATTGGCTCTTCTTCAGAAAGGGAAATTAGTTCTTCTCCATATTTAATCAGTATTTTCCCATCAAAATTGCTAATGCTGTATTTCTTTTTGAAGTGTCCTGTGATGCTACCCAAAATACACTTGTCTTGAGCTGCTCTCCTGTTGCTTCTTCACCTAACAATCCAAAACCTCCATTCCTATCATGTCCTTTCCAGTCTCTTCAAATAAAACAACAAACCAACACTCCTATAAGCAATTAATTCCTTTGAATACCTTTGAAATTTAACCTTTGGTAGTTATGCACGACTGTCAGCTAAGAAGTCACAATCAGAGCATGGATAAATGTGCATGCACTGACATCTCCCATCCAGCTTGGTCTCATGCCTTTCTGTAAGTTGTGAGCAGAACAACTGGGCTGCATTTACAGAATAGGATGGGTGACACAAGGCACAGGTATGCAACCCTCTACCTAAGGGAGAAGAGATTGTTGCCCAATTTTACTTTTTCTTCATATTTACTTGAAATTAATTACTGCACATCCTGCAGTATCTACAACTTGGCATACACAGCAACACACGCATGCAAGGTACAGCATCAACAGTGAAACACAAACTGTATTTCCAGTGTATGCTCCAAGCTAGCACTGTACACAGGAGTACAGAGAAACCTTCTACACAGACTTCTAAAACGTCCTAGACAAAAAAATGACTTCACATGCAGGGCCATGCAGACAACAGCTACAAGAAGTGATCTAGAATACACACATTCACTGAAACTAAGAAAATAATCATACAATGCAGCACATATCAGCACTGCCTACAAGTAGTATGCTAGAGCAGAGAGCAAAAATGACAAAAAAAGATAACACTGAAAAAAAAAAACCAACATGGTGCAGTGGTCAAGTTTAATAATACAATCTGAAATTCATATCCATCTCAATGGAGGCTTTTCATTCTGCCTGTGGTGGACAGAAACGAGATTGTCATCATGAGCCATGCTCTGCAAAAACTGGTGACATTATTTATGGAAAGCAATCCAGTGTCAAGGAAGTCTTGCACACCTTCAGATGTCTCATCCCTTTTCATTGACAGCACTCTGAAAATCTAGGTTCAGGTGTTTTTCTGTTTTAAATCCTGGAAATTTATTTGCTAAGCTACTTGGCATGTTCTGCTACTTCAATACTCAAAAATAAGGAGATACATCCTATTTTTGCCTAGTGAGTGTTAAAATATTAATACTCTGGTTTGCTTTCTGCTTAAAGGATTTCTACACTCATATTTTAAAAAGAAAGCACTGACGAAGTAATTAATTACTTTGGACATTGTCTTTCCTATCTGTATTGTGTCCAATATGCTGAAACTAAATTTTGGTTATATTAAAAAAATCCAAACAAACACAAAGCACATTAAAAAACCCAGAGCAAAAAAAACCCTTGGATTCTGTGGACATATTTAGATGTGCATCTCAGAGAAACTTAGCTCCTACCCACGTTCTCTTTTACACTTTGCCAATTTAGTTTACAACAAGCAAATATGTATTTTGTGAAATATCAGAAATCATCACATGAAATTTTCCCCTGTGATTTGTAAACTGATTTCTCCACTTGCAATAAGTTGCTCAATCAGTTACAAAAAAAATCACAACATATACTCAGACACGCAAATATTACCACAGAGATTGCAAAGACGCAAGTCAAAATGCAATTTTAATATATCCTTTAAAGACAGTATTTAAAAGTCTTCTTCCCAAGGAGGTACCAGCACTTAAAATGTTGAGAAGTCCAAGCTGCAGTGAATGGTTTGCAAAGGGATAAGACATCTTAAAGTTGTGTTTTTCAAGTAAACAGTATTACGAGAATTCTATGGTTATGGAAGACATGGACATTAAATGTGTGGAAGTTTAATAAAAAAGATTTAAAAGTCAACTGGATTCTCTTGCAATGTTGGGGTTTTTTTTAAATAGAAATGTATATTGCCAACACATAACTCAGTTAAATGTTTTTGGATGGGCTTTTAGGGGGAAGGAAAAAGGGAGGGGGAAAAAGGGGATAGGGATAGCAAGGGGAAAGGGTAAAGAGGGAGGGAAAGGGGAAAGGGGAGAAGGGAAAGGCTTCATAAGAGAAGCCAGCTGAGCTAAAATGTTACTTTCAGATAGTCTTTCACAAGTCAAAAGAGCTACCTGCAAAAAGAGCAGACATGGACAGCTTTCCAAGAGGTCTGATGGTATCGTACGGTATCTTTGTTTTATGCCACTTTCAGCCTTCAACTGAGGTAATTAAACTTCCTCTTCTGATCTGCTGCTTTGTCCTCCACTGAGTGTGAAATTCAGATTTGTGTTTAGCTCAGTTCACATCTTTCTTGAAGGACACCATATTCTATGTATTACTCATGTGTCTGCCAGTACTGTGGCAACAAGGAATTTGGGGACTTTTTCTCCCATTTTTGACCAACGATTACATTAAAAAAAAATGTAATCGGTATTTAAAAAGTCCACATAGTGGCTGAGCTACTCAGACAAGCTCAATTTTGGAAAAGAGATTAAATTAAAAGACTGACTGACTTGACTATCCTTCAATCTGATTGTGTCATTAAACATGCCAAATATTACAAGTCTAAATGTAATGTTTCATTTTCCTCACATATTCATGTGCTGTGATAAACTGTGAGATTCAGAACTATCTAATCATACCAAAATGGTGCAAATTTCAATCAAATTAAGCAGGCTTAAATACAATAATGAACTAATACTAAATTCCATTTAGCAGCGATGGCCAAACATGACCTGTAAACGTAAGGAAGATCAATTCAATAATCACACTTCATTACCAGTAAGACAGCAGTTTCATTGAAATTTGAGCACGTAAACTCCAGAAAATTAAAAAGCAGGGGGTGGAGGAGATAGTGTGGTGATTGCTGAGGTTCTGTGTGCATTTTTGTACCCACCAATCTATATTCAGTCATATATACACAAGGGAAAAATATAATCCAGCCCTTAACTGAATTACAGTCCAGTTGACCTTTAAATCAGTCTTGCACAGAAAGCTGTCCTTATAGAATTTCTTTGCTGTATCTTTGCTCACTGCAAAATAATTTTTGTGGACTTGACCACTGACAAAAAGCTATATGCTAATCAACAATATTTAACTCGAGATCTAAATGCTAGACTATCTCTAGCCAACACAAGAAGTGAAGCATTTCTACCTCTGCACCCAAAAGACCTCCTCTGTGATGCTGTGAACAATGAACAGAGAGCTATTTAGACATCAAAAAAATGAGATATACCATTGGTTTACAATGGTTCAAATGAAAAGCACCAACTCTTTTTTCTCCTGTGGATGTTAAACTCCTGCAGGGTTGAAAGGCAAGAAAGTTTAACTTCTTAGCATATCAAAAACCAGCAAGATTTAAGCAGAACAGGAAAAAGGAGAAAGAACGCATTGGCGGGGAGTGGCACAGGGAGAGATATTTCAAACATTTGCACAAGTGTCAATATAACCACATTACATGCTTTAATTGCAGCAACACTGTAATTACAGTAGCTTTAGAGATAATTGAACAGCAATAAGAAATAGCCGTCATTTGCATGTTATATACAGCAAGACTTTGTTAATTAAAAATTATTTTAAATACAGTACAAACACAGGAGTATTTTTAAACCAACACACTGGTTTTTAAGCAGCACATGCACTCCATTTCAATGAGTTCTGTAGTTTTTACATTAAGATAAATTGTACTTGTAAATGCAAGCTGTGCATGCACAACAAATACAGAACATGGCCAAATACATACCAGCTCTTCTGGCATACCAAGAATTTAAATGTCAACCCATTTAAAATAGATTATATTCCTTATGAAGACATCAGGGATTCTTTAAGTGAGGAAAAAAACCAAAAAACCATAATGGGAAGAAGGTGCCATATGCATTTTGAAATGTGACACTAAGGTCTTCAAACATGCCCTGCACAAGCCTCCCAAAAGTTCTAGTGGGTTTTTGTTATGCACATGAGACCCCACTTTGGATGTTTTCCTTACATTTTCTCTCTTATGGAGCTGTTTTCTTACAAATTTCCCACAAAGCAAATTTAGCAAGGAAATGCACGGTATGAGTACTTCAGATGCAAGACAACAACTATGCAAATGTAAATTACAAGCTGGCAATCATTGCTGGTACCAAACTGGTCTGAAAGCAAATCTCACACTCGATATAGCAATGGAGCTATAATGCTTGTAACATTAGAAGCAAAGACAGTATAATCTGAATTTAAAAATCTATTCTTTAATGCTTCCATTTCCATATGCTTTTCACTGTGTAAATTTGAACTGTCTGAGATGATAATTTTCCTGTGATGTGCATCTGCCCAATGGTCTTTGAGGTGAGAGGGGGGAAGCTCATTATTTCCAATTCTCAACCCTCTCTTGCTAGTCATCAAACAGGTCTTTAGGAAAGCAATCACCTCTGTTAGCAGGTCAGATGATGAGATATAGTCCCATCAGTTTGCTGAGACAGTGGCAGACCACAGTGGATTTAAAGATTTATAACTCCTGCAACAATTTGTGTACATGTATCTCAGGACAGGGTGGTGGCGGCAGCAGAAGCACCAAGAACTATTAACAAACAGATTTGAAAGAGTACCAGTACTAACAATTCAGTACTAAACGAAAAGAAATTGCACATTTGATCTGTGAAAACTGGGAAGGAAGAACTTTAGTAATAAGAAATGTAAGAGCTTTAGTTTGTCTTGTTGGTAACTCTTCCAGACCACAGAGAAGTGTTGTTTTAAAGTGGATAATTATGTCAGAAGAAAGCCTGAATGCCAAGATGAGATATCTTTCAAGAAATAAAGCATGCACAAAGCACTTTCAATGCATCTGTAGGAGAGCAGACCAACTCATCCATGGATTACAAAGAATCTTTCTAGCACAATACCTCAAAGAGCATGAGGAGTCCTAAAGCTAAGCACTCTTTAAATCTTCAAGCAGACCACAACGAAGGAGGCTGCTAGGGCTGTCTGCTTACAGTCATCTGCCCTCCAAATCTGCAACTGTGCAATAATCATAACCAATGGAAAATTATTTACTGTATGCACAACGAGGTGGGCAGGACAAAACTAGCTTACAAAGTCTACACAGGCTCAGAAGGAAGTCAGAACTACTGCATTGGGGCTGGTTGAAACCAGAGCAAACCACTGGCAGGCAATGAAATCACCAAAATCTACATCTCCATGCTACTGAACATGATGCTACTACATTGCCATATAACTGAAATACAGAAATAAACAAACACAATGCCACAGAATGCCACAAGGACTAATCTATTATAGATGAAACAGAGTGCATTGTCCTTAAAAATATTCCCATTGTTCTTGCACAAAATTAACAAGAGTAGCACTATCCCTAAATCATCTCTATAACCACATCAGGAGTACCAGGAAGACATTTTACCAATGCAGACCCCATTCAGCTCAAGCCAGTCTAATAATAAAATTAGGAAAACATGCACAATCTCTGATACATACCTGATCTATTAATCCTGTCAATTCTGTCCATGCTAGAAGCAGAGATTCTAATTCGAGGGCTACTCTGATTAGAGGATTCAGAGCCTCCATCAGCAAAGGAGTCTTCAAATGCAAAAAGTATTTCTTTCACACATTTGTGACAGACATTATGCTGGCAGGGGATGATCAGCGGATGGGTAAACAATTCTTTGCATGCTGGGCAGATAAGCTCTCTTTCAATACCCTTAATGGCAACCTTCATGATAGAAAGAGGGAGAAACAAGTATAAGCGCAGGAAAACACGAGCCGCCAAGACTTATTGCACTGCTCTAAGTCACCAAACCCCAGCTCCGCAGAAAAAAAGCACACCATTTTATCTGGCTAAAACAAATATTAATTAACATTTATGAAAACACTGACAGCATTCATTTCAACTTAAGTGAACATTGCCACTAGGCAAACAGTTCATCTTTAGGTCATGTCTGCATTGCAGGGGAAGAAAGGAGGGGAGTAGTCTTAATTCCACTCAAGGAGCTAGTGAAATGCAACCCAACGCAACCGTACTTCTTAACAATAGCAGTCTATATGTTTAGCTTGCTTGCTGGCTTACAGAGGGAGCAGGGAAAAAAAAAAAACAACGAAATTAAGTGTCAGACTGGTTAAACAACAGGCTCTCCTGACGTGTAATTGGCGTTTATGGGCTGAAACTATCTTCACTTCATTAAGGTAATAGTGCCGAGTCAAGAACATCATTTATTTATTTATATGTTAATTTACGTCTTTTATCTGGCGCACAAAGAGCCGCCTGTGGATCGGCGCGGCTCTTCAGTAATTCCGTGACGGCGCGCCCCGCCGATCGCGGGTGTCGGGCGGGCGCGGGCAGCGGCAGCAGCGGGAGCGCCGCTCCGCCCGGCGCCCTCCGGAGCGCTTCCCCTCCGCGTCGCGCCCGTCGGAGCTCCCTGCCAGCCCTGCCCGCCGGGACGGACCTGCCGGCGCACGTCTCGGGGACTGCCAGGCTGACCGACCGAGTGACTGACCGAGCGACAGACAGGCACACACACCCTTACAGCCCCCCACAGCACAAGAAGAGGAACGAAGGAACGACGCACTGCGCCCCGCCGGTTCCCCCCGCGCTCACCGGGCTCTCCAGCCGATCGCTCTCCATCCCCGCGCCTCTTCCTCCTCCTCCTCCTGCGCCGGGGCGCCGTCAGCCCGGGCGGGCGGCCGGGACACGGGCGGTGCAGCGCCCGCGGCAGCTCCCGGCGCAAAATGGCGAGCGGGCGGGCGGGCGCGGGGCAGCGCGGGCGGGGCGGGGCGGCCGCGCCCGCGGCAGCAGGCGCACAGCGGAGCTGTCCAGCGCCCCTGCCGCGCTGCTCCCGCGGAGCACCAGCTGCCTGGCTCTGCTATTGTTTTGGTCCTTTTCTTTCGCCGAGCGGCACCGGAAATACCACAAGTCCCGGCGGCCGGGGGTATCGAGTGCTTTCCCGCTCAGCCCCTGCCATTGGTCATGTCTCATGGTACCCATGTGATAGAATCACTGCGTCGTGGAATGGTTTGGGTTAGAAGGCACCTTGAAGATCACAGAATCACAGAATCAATCAGGTTGGAAAAGACCTCTGAGACCATGAGTCCACTCTGTGTCCTAGAGCCACCTTATCAACTAGACCTTGCCACTAAAAGCCACATCCAGTCTTTCCTGATATACCTTCACCACCTCCATGGGCTTTGAAGAATTTCTTTTTCATGCCCAACCTAAATTTCCCCTGATGTGGCTTTGGATAGTGTCCTCTCATCCTAAAGATCTAATTCCAGTGTCCCCCACTGTTGCCAGAACCACCTTCCAGAAGAATGGATTGCTCAAGCCTTCTTCAACCTGGCCTTATTCTAGGTTTGGAGCATCCACAGCTTCTCAGGGCAACTTGTGGCAGTGTTTCATCACCCTCTCAGTGAAGGATTTCATCCTAATATATTATCTAAACCTGCCCTCTTTAAGTTTAAATTCATTACCCCTTTTTACATTACCTGGCCATATAATAACTCGCTCTTTTTCATAAGCCCCCTTTAAATACTGAAAGACCACAATAAAGTCCTCGTGGAACCTTCTCTTCTCCATGCTCACAGCCTCAACTCTCTCAGCATATCTCAGCATAGAAGAGGTGCTACAGCCCTCTGATCATTTTTATGAGCTCTTTTTGACTCACTCCAGCAGATCTGTGTCTGTCTTGTGCTGAGAATCACAGACCTGGATGCAGTGCTCCAGGTGGATAGAGTAAGGGCAGAGTAGAGGGGGATAATCTCCTCCTTCAGGCTGCTGGCCACAGTTCTTTTGATGCAGCCCAGGATACAATTGACTCTCTGGGCTGCCAGGGCACACTGCTGCCCCATATCCAGCTTTTCATCCCTGAGAACCCCCAAGTCCTTCCCCTCAGGGCTGCTCTCAAAGACTCCTTCTTCCAGCCTGTCCTCACGTTTGGAATTGCCTCGATCCAGGTGCAGCTCTGCACTTGCACTTGCTGGACTTCGTAAGATACTCATGGGCCCACTTCTCTGGTTTGTCCAGATCCCCCTGGATGGCATCCCTTCCATCTTTTGTGCCATCTGCACTGCTCAACTTTGTGCCATCTGCAGATTTGCTGAGGGTGCCCTGGATATCACTGTCCATGTCATTTATAAAGATACTGAAGAGCACCAGTCCCAAGAGAGAGCCTTGAGGAAAACCACTCATTCCTGGCCTTCACGTGGATACAGAACCATTGACCACAACTCTCTGGCCAATTCCTTATCCACTGAATAGTCCATCAATCAAATGCATGTCTCTCCAATTTGGAGATAAAAATGTCATGTGGGACTGTGTCAAAGACCTTACAGAGGTCATCTCTTGGACTTGCATTGTCAGCTTTTGCAGTCATCCTGTCACAGAAGGTGACCAGTTTTGTCAGGCACAATTTGCCATTATTGAAGCTGTGCTGGCTGTCTCAGACCACCTCCTGGTTTTTCATGTGCCTTAACAATTTTCCATGAGGACCTGTCCCATGATCTTCCCAGGTACTAAGGTAAGGCTCACAAGTCCATAATTACCCAGACCTTCCTTCGTCCCCTGATTAAAAATAGGCATGGTGTTTCCCCTTTTCCAGCCACTGAGGACTTTGCCTGACTGCCATGAGTTCCAAATATCCTGCAGGAGGCATGCACCAGGCAGCTTTTGTGGCAGCTAGGATGAAAAAGAGACGGGGAAGTGGTTATGATGGCCAGCATCTCCTACCCTTCCCTTACAGCACGTTTCCATTGGAACAGGGGTCGTAAATACCCTTTTCACCATCCACCAGAACAAACAAAAAATACTTTTCAATTCTCAGCACCTTTCGCTTTTGGCAAGGGTGCAGACAGAGCCACTGCAGTGGCAATAGTTAACATAGCATTAGGCTAAGGGAGAAAGAACCAGTTAGCAAGCTTTGAGTAAAAGCATGCACTGTCCTTGCATTACACAGTAGAAGGAGGTTTAGTTAATTAAAATACATGCGGCCTGGGTTATGTGAATGATGAAATGTTGTCAGTTGGAGAAATACCAGATTTGACCTGCTGTTCTATTTGAAGAAAAACATCAGGATAAGAAGTTCCCTTTTCCCCTGAAAACTACTTTTCATATGACTCAATAAAACAAACACTGTTGAAATGCCTTACTTGGGCATTATTTACACCTGGGTTTCAGTGGCCTCGATGTGAAACTTGAATGGAAATTTACACTCATAAATTATGAAAACAGAGGTGATTTTTTATGTGTCCAGTACAACAAAGAAGAACTTTCTACAGAAGACTTATAAAGATATTATTTAGGATTTACTTTACTAACCAGTGTCATAAAAATACAGAGTGCTCTGGTTGAAATTATTCTGATAGTACCAGTAAATGTACAGTATGTATATTCAAACAGAAACATGTCACTTAAATGGGCGTGGGGAGAACAGGTTGGTAAGGTCATATGTTGTCAGCCTTCCAACTGTGTTTTGAATAATGATTTGCAAGCCTCTGAATATGGATATTATCTCTTACCCACCTCTGCTATTCCTCAGCTTTCCTGATTCCTGCCTTCCTTACAGGCAGGCAGCTTTTAATAAGCCCTTGTCTACACTAGCACACTACACACCGCTGATGCTGGACTGTGGTTGATGCAGGGCCAAATAAACAATCAGCTTCAGACTAGAACAAAGACCCCTGGGCTCTAAGGCTGCCTTTGAAACAGTAGGAAGAAATTTTGTCTTTGGTGGCTCTGCAAGGAAAGCTATTCTGTGCTCCATGCTAAAAGTGTAGATGCTCTTTACATCTGTAGTGTAGCACAGGTGGGTGCTGCTAGTGCAGACAAACATGGAGCACACATTTTCCCCTGTCCTTCTGAAGTCTTCACATGCACCACAGTGCCAGCAGCTGTTACTGCCAGAACTTGTGAATGATTCTTTGTTCATCTCTTAATAAATCGTTAAGGTATTACCTTGTTTTTGTACATGTTTGTTCTGGCTTCAGGATAGTTTAGAGCAAGATTTTAATTACCACCTCAATCACATTAAGATATTACATGGAAGAAGATATCCTTGAAGATCTCCAAAGGGCAAAACTCCCTCTTCTGCACTCACATCTTTTTACTAGCTGTTTGATCCTCCCCCAACTCAGGACTACTAATTTTGCAGTGCTAAAATTCTCATTAGCTTCAGGTACTGGGAGGAAAAGGCAACAACTAGGAATGACTGATACATTAAAAAGATAAGAGCACAAACCAGTGTCAGAAAATACTTCTATCCTTAGCTTCTGAAAAGGGTGTTAATAAGATCAGCATGACTACAAAAGTCAGACCTACCTTTCTGCTTTGTTTCCAGACAAAGATGTTCATCAAGTGGACACCCGTTCTGCTCACAAGGGACTCATTTTGCATGGAGTAATGCCTGGGTTGTGTTTAAGTAGCTCTACACATCCTTCAAAATTCAGCCCTGTTGCTTTGGCAGACAGGGTCTGACCAGGATTTACAGCATGCCCTGCACTCTCAAGGCAGCAGAAGAAAACAGTAACTAGGATGGGTGGGCATTGCCATCCTCTTTCCCCCCCTACCTCAGGTTAAATATGCTTATTAATTTAATAATTGATATGCAGAAATTTCCTGAGTGCTCATTTGCATGAACTATCAAGGTAATTTCAAGAAGGATGCAGCACTGCTTTCCAACAAGCTGTAAAAATCCTACACTTGTTAAACAGTGCAACTGAAGTCCTACTGCAGGAAAAAAACATAAGCCTGTCTCAAAGCACCAGAAAGGCTCTGCCAACACCTGCCCTCCCTTCAGTAGGTCTGCAAACCAAAGCTTTTCAAGACATTTATTTTCACGCTTTTTGCAACCACAGCTTGAGACTGAATCAGTTTCCTGTTGGTCTGACCTCCTCTGACTGAAAATATTAGAGCCAATGCATCACAGTGGAGATATGCAGAATGAGAATTCTTCCTGAGCTGGTATGACTGACCTGGGGACTGAGCTATCATACAAACGTTTTTGTCTGTGTGCAATGTGTTTTCTTCCAGGATGAATTCAGAGGGGTGTTAGCCCTCATCCTGCTCTCTGTAAATTGTCAGTGATGCAATTTACTTCCCTATTTACTTCTCTTCTCCTGAACAGTTAAATCTAATGAAGATGATTTTTACCCACAGGATTCTTCCAGTCATGCAGGATAAAAAATAAGGCAGCAATAAGGGCAGGAATTTATGCTGCCTGAGAGATATGTGCCTGTTTTGGCTTAGGAATAGAGGCTCAGTTTTGCCTTCACAATGGCTGCCCTTCAACTGTGTGACCTTGAAGAGCTAGCTAAGATCTGTAGACCTTGGGTGTTTCAAAGTGAACATAACTATGGTCTGAGGATCTCATTTAAAAAAAAAAAAAAAAAAAAAAAAATCAGTCCCTAATCCCTTGGTTCAGGGTTGTTTGTCTTCTCTGCAGAGAAGTGCTACAGGTCCATAATCCTCGAGGCTGGACAGGTTTCCTAACAGATCCCATAACCTGATCAGCAGGACTGGACAAGTTCAGAAGGTCCCGTGTGCCACTGCTATGCACAGAGCACTGAGTTAATAAAGACTGCACTCTGCCAGAATACTGGGTCTGCAAATAGCTTTGGGTAGGATTTGTAGCTAGCATGTTTCAAAGTATGCTAAACTGATTCAGTGTGTCTTTACTTTTTAACTTATTGCCAAATGTACAGTACTCTCCAGGACACCTGGGAAGCAGCAGAGAACCCAAGGAGCAGCTACATACAAGTCTACAC